TTCTATTCTATTCTATTCTATTCTATTCTATTCTATTCTATTCTATTGAAATAGTCTAATTAGGGAAGGGATGGGGAAAGGGTACAGTAGGGCGAGACTTCTGTTTTCTCCTAGAGGCAGAAAATATAATATATAATCCCTGGCGCAGATCCGAATGTTGTTCCGTAATCAGGTAGGACTGGCTTGGGTGTTGCAGCCCACCTGCAGAACAGGAAGTCATCTCTTCCCTGGGGAAGGTGAGGCTCCATAATTAGCGGTGTTGATACCCACCAAGTCGGGGGGGGGGGGGGGGGGGAGAAAGTTTAATGAAACCCCAACCAGGGGGGGGGGGGAGACTTAGGGAAGAGGAGGGAGAGAGGAGATGAAAGCAATCAGAAAGCAAATCGGTTGGGGAAATTGAAAAAGAGACGGGGAGGAGGGATTTGGGTCTGCCGTGGGAAACGGAAGGGGGTGCAGGTGGGCTGTCGGGCAAACTGGAAGACAGCAAGTACCTCACCCCCACCCCCCACGCCCCCCAAAAAAGAAAAAAAAATGCTGCCAGCTATTTTAAAAGGCCGCGTCAGCCGGTTGCAAATTAAAACTACCCATCAGGAAGCAACTCAAGAAGAAGAAGAAGAAGAAGGGGAAGGGGGAGGAGGAGGAGGAGGAGGAGGAGGAGGAGGAGGGAGAGAGTTTATCTGTGAGTTTATCTCTGTCCAAAGGCTAGCTCATTAAACTATTTGTCGATGCTGTCCCCCCTCCCGCCACAAATCAAAATAGCATCAAATGATGGCCTTGCCTCTATGGAGAACTAAGTTTCTAGTCCTCATGATTTAAATCAATGCACGAGTCCAGACAGGACGAGTCCAGCAGAAACTCTTCCCTAATCTGTCTCTGTCTCTCTCTGTGTGTGTTTGTCTCTCTCTCTCTCTCTCTCTTTCTGTTTCTCTCTCACACACACACACACAACCTTCTGCTGTGTCTGTCTGAAGCGAAGGGCAACTGACAGGACTGTTTTTCTCCTGCGCTTATTCACTTATTTAACACCAACCCAATTCACTTTTTGGAGAGGGACAGAGAAGTAGAGAAGAAGAGGGAGAAGGGAGGGAGGGAGAGAAAGGGAGAGAGGAGAAGAGAGAGGGAGAGAGAGGAAGAAGAGGGAGTGGAAGGAAGAGGGAGAGGAAGAAGGAGAAGGGGAGAGGGGGAAGAGAGAGAGAGGGGGGGAGAGAAGGGAAGAGGGAGGGAGGGAGGGAGGGGGAGGAGAGAGAGAGAAACGGAGATATTTCCCCACTGTTTCCTGGCTGCTTCAGTTTATTAAGAGCGGACGGCATCGAACTGACTCCTGACAAAGACTGGATCCATCCATCCATCCATCCATCCATTCCCCCTTGGAGGAACCTTTTGACAAAACCAGCCAACTCCCCCTGCGCCCCCACCCCCCAGCCCTGGTGGACATTGGAAGGAGAGGCAAAAGAGGAGGAGAGGAGGAGGAGGAGGAGGAGGAGGAGGCCGCCGGGAAGCTCTCGCCCCACCCCCCCACCCTCTTTAATTTCATTTAACGCAGACCTAGAAGGATTAGAAACGGAGGATTTTCCAGACAAGATGCCTGTCCTTTGAAACAACCCAACTGGCCTGCCAACAACTCTTGTTGTTGTTGTTGTTGTTGTTGGCTGAGGGGCAAAGGGAGAGAGGAGAAAAGAAAAGAGGAAAAAGGGGGAAGGGAAAGAAGGGGGACAGAGAGAGTGGCATGATTAACTCAACGTGTTTAACTTCTCCCCTCTTTGGTTCTCCTCCTCATTGGGGGGAGGAGGAGGAGGAGGAGGAGGGGGAGGAAAAAAATAAGAGGAAGGAGGAGGAGGAGGAGAAGGAAAAGAAGAAGGAGAAGAAGGAGGAGGAGGAGGAGAAAAATAAGAGGAAGGAGGAGAAGGAGGAGAAGGAAAAGAAGAAGGAGGAGGAGGAGGAGGAGAAAAATAAGAGGAAGGAGGAGGAGAAGGAAAA